GGGGGAAGGGAAGGGGGTGGAGGGAGGGTAGGGGAGAAGAAATGTGCTCATGTACCTGACAGAGATGGACCATTATTGCCCCTCTCCGACGGAGCTGAACAACATTCCTTCTAAGGGGGGGGTGTTGCAGCCACCTTCCTTCACCATTCAGGTGCCCGCCCACTTGCCCGTCTACCCGGTCTTTCATTGCTCCAAGTTGGCTCTTTACATGCCAGCAGAACATGACGATTTTCCCGGGCAACGATCGCAAGACCCGCCCTCTATGGACGGTTTTCAAGAGGTCGGCGACATCATCTCCCAGCGATGCTACGGCAACAGGCCGACCGAATACTTGGTACACTTTGCGTACTGCACCCACAAAGCTGACCGTTGGTTGACCCGTGCGGAACTCCAAGCAACAGCTCCAGATGTTCTCGCACGCTATGAACGCAAGATGCAAGGCAAGCCGGTATCTTTGGCGCCACGTCGCACCCGCGTCCAGGTTCCACCTTCAGATCGTCAGCTTCGCCCTCGACCCGGCTTGACTTCATAAGGAGGGGGGGGTGTTACATGCTGCGCCTGAAACGAGGACCATTTTCAGGCCCTGTGTTGTTTTCAGCCTAAAAGCCTGAAAACAAGGGCCTGCAGGCCCTGTGTCGTTTCAGCCTAAAACAGGGCCCTCCAGGCCCTGAGTCTTTTCAGCCTGAAACGGAGGGCCATTTTCAGGCCCTCATAAGATCGACCTGCCCTGAAACTTAGGCACCAGACCAGGGTTTTAGCCCAGGCCATTTTGGGCCTGTTTTCAAGACAACCTTTGTTTGAGCTTCAACGCCAGGGTCTAGCACGTTTTGGAATTGGCAAGAGCAGCCTCCTGGACGGGCCAGCACTATATAAGGCTGGCCCGCCCTGCAGGCTGCAGGTAGTTCATAGGGACTTCCCAGGCACTTCACGTGCAGCTCAGGAGGCAGGAGGTAGTCTTCAGGATTCGGCAGCAGCACTCTGGAGGAGCGCTGCAGTAGTAGTAGTAGTAGCGTTAGCAGTAGTCTTCAGCGCTGGGCGCTAGTAGGAGCTAGAGTAGTACCGGAGAGAGAGAGAGATTGGGCGGAGGCCAGGGAGACTTACCTGCAGCGCCATAGCTCCAGCTTCGTCTTCGAGGAACCTGCAGCACGGCGCCATCTTCACAGGTTAGTACCTGGCACATGAGAGAGAGAGAGAGAGAGAGAGAGAGAGAGAGAGAGAGAGAGAGAGAGAGAGAGAGAGAGAGCGGCAGCAGCACTCTGGAGGAGCGCTGCAGTAGTAGTAGTAGTAGTGTTAGCAGTAGTCTTCAGCGCTGGGCGCTAGTAGGAGCTAGAGTAGTACCGGGGAGAGAGAGAGATTGGGCGGAGGCCAGGGAGACTTACCTGCAGCGCCATAGCTCCAGCTTCGTCTTCGAGGTACCTGCAGCACGGCGCCATCTTCACAGGTTAGTACCTGGCACATGAGAGAGAGAGAGAGAGAGAGAGAGAGAGAGAGAGAGAGTTCTTCTTCTTCTTCTTCTCAGTCCACCATCTCCCCCTCACCCTCTAGCTACCTGACTTCACTGCATCAGCAGACTACGAGAGAGCGGGATTGGTGACATTTGGACCCAGACTCGACATTGGGCTTTGGACATTTGACGACTGATTATCTGGGACTTGTACCAAAGACTTGGTGTTGACGACATTCCCACCTTCCCCCTCTTCAACGTCTGATCCCCTC